TTCCGCTCGAGAGAAGGAACCTTACAAATCTCCCTGCGCAAAGAGGGGGTAGATGGGGGGCGGAGGCGGAGGCGGAGACGAGGGCGGAGGCGGGGGCGGGGGCCCGGGGCCGGGAGCGCGGGTACACGAGTGCAAAATCAAGTTGTTTTTCGGACTGTCAATTCGGAATATTTTCTTTTCTTTTTTTTATTTTCCTTTTTCTTTTTCTTTTTCTTTTTTTTCAGTGGTCGAAAACCCTTGATTCCTCTTTCGTGCTCCCACTAGCCACGAGGATCGGATTGAATGCCTGAATCTGGACGTTTTTGTGCACAGGTGCAAGACATCGAGATTGAACTGCTTTTCTGCATCTTCGCGCAAGGCATATCCAGATTCGGGCATTCAATCCGATCCTTGTTGCTAGTGGGAACTCGGCCCAGCAGCAGACCCCGTCGCACCTCTTTTTTTTTTTTTTTTTTTTTTTTCCTCTTCTTTTGTTCTTCTCTCAATTTCACCTCGGGCGAGGTCCCACTAGCAGCGGGATAGGATAGAAACGAGTTTGTGGGGCAGTTGAGTGACCCCAATCCTGCCGTGCAGTAGTCGTGATCCCACGGTCAGTCTTTTACTTGTATTACCCGAAAAAAATAGGAGATCTTCGTTCCCCTCCTCCTCTCCTTAACACTGGGCATGCCCGTGCAAAGAAAGCTTCCCGCCAGAATCTTTTCTATCGGTTGGGGGTAAGGCCAACCCCAAAGGAGGGTGTGATCGGCCTTAGCCCACGGGATAAAAGATTTTCAGTATTTTACTTGCTGTTGCGCAATTATCTCATTGGGTGGAGCGCTCCTTCAATCACGGAGTATATGGAGCGTGTCAGGATCATTACGGACAAAAGTCAAGTTTATTCCAGCAAATGTGGCGGTTACTATGTTCACTGCTGATGCAACCACCACCATCAGATCATTTGTGATCTGATGGCTGGGAAGCACTCTGCCGTGATTTTCGGTGGGAGGTCCCTGTTTCTTTTTTTTTTTTTTGCGTTTCTCCTGTTTTCTCAGCCCAGAAATTCGTAATGAACCTGTCGGGCCGCTGCCACTCAGTGTCACACTGGATCGGCCACACTCCTATCCGACTGCTAATGGGACCTCGCCCCTCGAGTCGAAAAAAATTGAGAGAAGAGTATAGTTAAAAATAAATAAAAAATTAAAAATTCACCTCCAGTCACAGTACCTACCTACCACTGGTCCTAATTGTAGGCATACGGGGAACGCCGTAGCAGCCAGAACCGTGTTTACGAGAGAACAGGCGGGGGCTGCTCACTACCTGCGGGTGGGCGATACCGGCTAGGGGACAGCCGGTGGCATCAGGGACCATGCCAACAGGACCAATCCCTGTGCCTCCCCTCAGGTGGTGCCCCCCCCCTAGGAACATCAGCCGACTCTGCTCAATGCAGATCAAGGGGGATCCAGTGGTCTATATCTCTAGGTGGCGGGCGCCAAGCATGCCCAGGAAGGTACATGAGGCCAATGGGGATTGAACCCACGACCTCCTAAATGCCACTTGCGAGCCTTACCAACTAGGTTTTCAGTACACGGCCTTCTTTTCTTATGGGCGTCGATCTACCAACTGGCCTACTGTAGCTCAGGGGCCAGGTCCCACTAGCAAAGAGGATTGGATTAAGCTCCTGAAGATGGACGTGATTTAAGTAGAGATGCAGAAAAGCAGTTGTTCAATCTCGATTTCCTGCATCTCCCCACAAACCCATCTAGATTCAGGCATTTAATCCAATCCTCTTTGCTACCTTCTTCCCCCCAATATTTGGGGTATCTTTCAGTCTAACTATGACCATGCGTTGTATTCAGGGGGGAAGAAGGTACTGGGGCCTAGCGCCAGTTGGTACACACCGAACTGTTCGTTGACTACCTCCAAGGGTAACACGTGGTATGCTGGTTGGAAAAACGTTCGTAAATATTTTGGCAAATCCATAGTCCATAATCCGAGCAGAGAGTGTCTGCTTAAGGATTGTCGATCTTTACTTGAAGCGGGTGGGGTGTTTACGATCAGTCGTTTGATCAGATGGAGGAGACAGGGTAATTCTCTTAAAGTTGTTCTGCTGGGTGCATTGCGTTGTCGAGTGCATCGGTCCGGCACCGCACGGGGCAGCGCGGGACCCTCCCGGCCACGTCACGCAGGAGTTGGACTTTAATCCTTCGTCACGAATATACATGGAACTTCCGCAAACCGCTCCGGCCAAGTGCGCTAGCCATACCTCATGCGAGCCCCTACGACAGGATAGGGCCTACGCGAGGCACGACTTACCTCCACCTTACGGGAGCTGTCACCTCCCTTCGGTGGGCGTATCCCCGCCGAGCTACCAGTCCACAATACGAAAGCTGATCAGTTGCAATCGCAGAGGTGGACCAGCTGAGGGCGTTTCTCGTTCGCTGTAGCATAGGGGGTACGCGCGGTACTACGCCTCTATTGAACCCGCGCGCGAACCGGCATTTTGGGGGGCTGAAGTCCCAAGCGGAACTCGGCGTCGGTCGACTAGGACGCATCCCACACGCCAGGCGTACACCTTTCTACGAACACAAAAATAAACACACATACAACGGCACGCAGGAAATGACACAACACAAACAACACGACAACACTCATAATCCCTTAGTAGTCATCCCATAATTTTCCGATGCGGAATCAGATAGGCTTCGCGTGTGGGGCTTAGTATAAAACCGCGCGGACGCAGGGCTTACTCATATCGACTCGCCATGTAAGCGTACGCAAGCGGTCGCAATGATAGCGTTCTATGTAGTGTCCATAATCAAGCGGTCCCTCGTGGATCCGAGTACCGCTTATGACACTCAAGTGTCAAACTCGAAGTGTCGTGAGGGTCTAATCCCTCACGATATTGCACGACTGAAGGAATAGTTGTGCAGCTGCCGCGAGACCTCCGGCCTTTGGTCTGAGCGTCTCGGTAGGCAAGACAAATAGGCTCTGCACGGGGGCAGATTCCTTCCCTGCAGAGTCTAGGGCTTGGGATGTCCTAGACAAGGACCTTGAATCCCGACCCAGGACCAACGTCTGACTAAGAACCCTCTCAAAGCAAACGGACACAAAGGAAGGGTCTTCCTTATTTTTCTCAATCCTAACCCTTAAGTATGCCTTTAGTACGAGGCCCCTCACGTCCAACATAGGTACACACACATATATCGTCAAATAGAATATATATATATATAAAGGGAAATAAGTATGTGACAATCACTTCTGACAGTCTCAGTGGGGTTCCTCACAACCATATGTATATGTGTGATTGCAGACAGTCAAATCCAAAATCCGAACCACAGAACATACTTGCAATCACATAAAAGAGTCAAACAAAGTCCACGCACTATACGGAGTCAACCCCAACCACTCCCTATACTCATATCCCTCGCTTTGGTCATGCAAGCCCCGACCTCCAGCCAACCAACCATAATTAAATACTCAGCACCTTTGTTAAACGACCATTCAATAAAAGGTCGGGTGAAACCTTAACGAAACAATAAAATCACCGGGGCTAAAGCCTTTTAGGTTGAGTATTGAGGGTGAATTGAAATTGAGTCGTAAGCCGATGAATCAGCAACTGACCTGTTATCAGTGATAACAGAAGATGATCCTTTATAGGATCGAGTTGAAACTAGTCCAAAGTCCTGAATCAAACGGTCAAGAAGACATGTAACACATGACAGGTCAATCCCCAGGCTAAACCTATAAGTTCTTGGAGAATAATCACGATCTCACCCAAAATCAACCCGACTGACTAAGCCTAAATTTACCTTTAGGCAGTGCCCGAAGCAAAGATAGACCCTGGAAGAATCTCCCCCATACAAGGTGGATTGCCAGAATCGCCACCTGTCAAAATATAACCTAGCTCCTTTAAGCTAAGAAAATTTCGGCAGCGCTCCCCATAGGAAAAGTGATTTTTCAGAATTTATATCAGCCTAAATATGAAACCAGAAATAGTCTTTGACTTTCCAAAGTTCAATTTTGTCTAACTCCCTGAATAAGCAAAACTTTGGGCAGCACTCCCTTTAAAAAATGAGACTTTTCAGATTTTTACTAAGCCATATATGAACTTTAGGCAAGTCGAACTTTGAAAAGTCAAAAATTGACTAACTCCTTAGATTTGTAGAAATTTCGGCAGCGCTCCCATAGAGAAAGTAGCTTACCAAATTTTATACAAAGCCAAATATAACAAATGAGTTCAGAAAATGTGAAAATTGACCTAAGTAAAAAACTTAGCTCAGAAAATGCAGAAATTGAACTAACTCCTATAGCTCTAGCACGTGGCGAGCAACTACTTGTCAAATTGAAACTCCGACTAAATAGTAGCCTCACTTAGTCTCATGCAGGTCAAGCCACAAAGGTAAATACTCTTACCATCCCACATTCAACTTAGCAAACAATAGT